TGCATAAAATGACAATTGGTCAAAATAACAACAACAAAAAAAAGTCATGTTTTCAGACATGTTTATATTCATCTTTAGACAACACAATACCAGTGTTTTAACTTCAGAAGAGTTAAGAAATCTATATTTGGTGGAATAACCCTGATTTTCAATCACAACAAATGAAAACATTTATTTTGACCAATTGTCATTATCTGAAAACAAAAAAGCTCTAAATGACAATATTTTTTACTGTTAATCTGTTTCCTTCTAATCTGCTTTGAAACTATTTAAATAAGCACCAAATAAATGAGAAAATCGTTGGTCTGATTTAATGAGCAGAGAGACTATTTAAAATGTAATGTTATTTTTACGAGGTATATTTTTCTTTTGCAAGGTATTATGGCTGTGTTTGTGAACATTTACAAAATATTTTATATATTGCTTATTTAATTTCATTCAACATTTTGACCACTGAAACCTTTACTGGGAAGGAATTTAGAGAAGTGCAATCAAATAGCCCTGATGTATAATATAACTGCAAAAGAAAATAAATGATGTATGCAGAATAAACCCACACTGATTGTGCAAAATGGTGCTGGGGTGTCATAAAATTGTCTCCATGGTTACTGCATTTCACTTTCAAATCAAACTCTTAAGTGCAGAAAAGCTTCCTGTGGGACTGTTGTCTTCCTGTTGCAGGCCTCCGACTGACAGCCTTTAAACACCCTGCATGCATTCATTTAGTTTCAGCATAATGCTGTTTTCTTTATTATTAGCATGTAGAAAGAGCACAATTACCAATTCCAGCGTGTTATTTTTTTTTTGCTGTGTGTTAATGGTAAAGTGTGTGGGAGAAGTGGTCCGGATGCAAATCATGGATGGGATTTGCATTTAAAACAGCTGCTTATTACGCTTAAACTAGGGATAAGACACTGACATACATGAAGATTCAGATTTCTCACTGTTGAAGATAGAGCATATTCACATTTTGTATAAATATGCAGTGACCCCAAAGCCAATTTGGACACTTATGCCACTTAAAAATGTATGAATGTCTGCATTATATAACACGAAAGTGTGCTTGCGCTATCTTTCCTACCAATAAATGCCACCTGGATTGATATTCAATGACATTTATACATTTTTAAGTGTGGCCTACAGGAATTATATGGGTTTAATACAAATTAAGTTTAATCAACAGCATTTGTGGCATAATGTTGGTTAAAATAAAATAAAATAAAATAAAAATGGACTGAGCCCTCATTTTCTAAAAAAAAAAAAAAAAAAGAATTTAAAGCTACACTGAAGCACTTAAAATGGAACTGACTTTATGGAGTCTATAAAAGCTGAAATGTGTGAAGCTGATAATTCTATCAAAGCATTTAAATTATTTAAATTAATTATTCTACTGTTATTTGATCTCTTTAAATAATTTTAACAGTCAATTTTATTGTGTCTTGTGGTTTTTTACAGCCCCATTCACTTCCATTGTAAGTGTCTCATTGTAACCCAAAGCTTTTTTAATGTAAAGGAGGGACAAATATAAATTAATTTTTGAATTAATCAATATTATGCCACAAATTCTGTCAGCCAAGCTTATTGAAGATGTGCATTCATCCTATAACCAGACAGAAAGGTGGTAGGATATTTTCACAGTGACATTCAATCAGTGTTATCATTTGATATATACTATTATAGTTTTTGTCAATATTTTGAATTAGATTTTATTTTTATATTTTATTTTAATTTTAATTAATAATTTTTCTTATTTTGTTTCTTTTTTTAAACATGTTTATATCGTTTGCATGACGTTTTAGCTTTAGTTATTTTAGTACTTCAACTTAAACTAAACAAAAATGAGAAATGGCAACTAGCTGAAATAAAATAAGTTAAAGATTTTATATTTGACTTCAGTTAAGGTTTAAATAATTTCAAGCAATGAAAATGCTGATGGTTTTAATTTTAGTTAACGATAATAACCCTGCACTCTCTAACAAATTTCAAACAAGCTTGTCATTTTGTTTACTGTGTGGAGACGTGCTGATATCGCGTTTGGTCTCGTTCTGTATCGCGTATCTTGTCCAGTGTCTGCGCTTGCTTGGCCATTTGTTGTGGAAAAAAATAAGGAAAGTGTGTCCAGCTGAATTAATTTAGTATTTTGTTATACGGGTATAAAAAAGCTTAGTTTAGCGGTAGCGGTCGCGTGACGGCCTCCTCATGTGAAGACCGAAGAGTGTAAAGACCATCGACTCTGCCGTGCGACTCCACCAGGCAGGGACACCGGCAAAGGATACGTATCGCTTTTTATTTCTCATCTTTCCTATTACTTGTTTCGCTTCTGTTTCAGTTTTTATAACCATTTCTTACTATGTGTAAGTAAGTTGTTGTTTTTTAGCATGTAAGTTTGGCAGTGTTATTTTTTAGGATTACTGATAAACTACTGTCATTTGATTTGTATTATTTGTATTTGTTATTTATTTTAATTTTAGTTACATTATGTCTGAATTTATTATGTCTGTATAGGTCTTTTATTAATTTTTTTGTTTTATTTGAGTTATTTTAATACTTCAACAAACTAAATGGAAATGAAATTATATATTGAATTTATAAATGTGTATATATATGTATGTGTATGTGTGTGTGGTTGTACATACACATATGTAGTTGGTTTTTTTTGGTGTTTGGCTTGGTGTTATGTTGGAGTCATTGTTGTGCTCTTATACCTTTTATTCTTTGGTATTTTGAATTGTTTTTGGCTTTATTTTTTTGTTTTTCATTTAAATGTTACGTTTTGAGATTTTGTTGTATGCATTTGTCATTTTTATTTAATTTCTTTATTTTTAAAATGTGTATAAGTAGTATTTATAAAGTTTTAGCTTTTAGTTTTAGCTAGTTGTTTTAATACTACAATTGATTGCTTCTGTTGTCCTCATTTGTAAGTCGCTTTGGATAAAAGCATCTGCTAAATGACTAAATAAAAAATAGCTGAGCTACTAAAAAAATAAGTGGGACTGAATCTGCAACACACAAGGCTTTCCATCAGCATCATTCTGGATGCAGTACAATCAATACTGCTTCTGCAAATACATCAGCCAACATCTGAACGTCCATGTCAGAACCACCAGTGACCCGCAAGCTAGAAACTTTCCAACTGTTACTCCTTCCCGTAATTAATGTTACAGTTCTGGAATCTAGACAAAGCCTGGTTATTGTACTTGGCACAGCTGGGCATCTTTTGGTATGTAAATGAAACAGACTGGAAGGATTGCAGGGGGCTTGAATCCCCCCGCCAGACTCCACTGCCACGGGCTGTTTGGAGATCTGCTCTGTGCACTACAAGGGGCTTTTCTGGTTCCCTGCCAAACAGAAACCCAGACGAAAAACCAAATACAAACATACAGTATCTGTCACCACACACGCGTTATTCAAAAGCAGGCAATGGACCTCAAACACAGCGTGATGATCAGTCACAGCTAAAACCGCTCATAAAACTCACCAAAATCAGCTTCCCATCTGTAAAGGACGGAGAGGAGGAACCTTTCCCCAGAGGATGAGGTTATTCTGGGCCGTGAGCGAAGATTTCTTTCCCACACCTACTCACAGACACGAAGAACCAACGCTTCTTCTCTAGGTGATTTAAAAAGCTCTCACGGGAGGGACTTCATCAACTTTTAGGATAAACATACTGTACAAGTGACGTCATCTGAAACTGCTCTTTGTCTCGAGACCTGTTTATATCTGTACAAATGATTGAAGGAGGTCTGAAGAACCAAAAGAAATCCCAAAAACACAACTAATAACAGGCAACGGTGTGACCTTCTTACTGTAATTATAAATGTGATCACATGCCTTTTTAACCTTTCTCTGAAAATTCTCATTGTAGCATTACGTTTAAGTAGCAGTGTTGCTTTGAAACAACACCAATGTCTATAACATCTTAAACCATGAAATAACCATATAAACTAATAGGTATACAACTTTACAGTTCAAATAACACAAGTTAATCAAATAAAACGTTTCGTAAAATCATAAACCTCACATTTCAGTCTAATAAATGATTATGTATGTTATATATAATTGGTCTGAATCCATATGACTCATCATATATTTCATATAACTGTTCAGTGTGCAATACGCATTTGACTACAGTATGGCAAAAGCGTCTGGATTAAGGGTTTTTACATAAATCGACATCCATGCAATGAAGACTTGTAGTTTTAGACACTGTAATATTTAAAATAAATACAATTGCTTACAGTGCATCATATTCAAATCAATACAATACAATATCCATTGACCATAAATCGCACCAATGTGGAAAAAATTGCACTGTGATATTTGGCATCAAAATAATGAATTACCAAAATCATGTATTGAATCTTTGCCTTCCACATTATATCTTCCAGATTATATGTAAGTTTCACTGTTCAAATGTCTCTTTGTTCATGGACAACATTTTGAGCCTGAGTTTTAAATATATAAATATAAACTTATATATATGTATGTGTGTGTGTGTGTGTGTGTGTGTGTGTGTTTATTCATTCATTTCCACTGTAGACACTGTAAGAATGCAACAAAACTCAAGAAACCTAACCCAAGGATCATGACTATTTCATAAAATGGTTACATTTTATCCCCGTTCAAGCAGATTTGTGCTTGAGCAAGATGGTAAAACCTTTATGACCCTCCTCTATATCATAGGTAACTGTGTATATGATCACTAGTAGTCACCATCACTGATGACTACCACAGTAGTAAAAGAAATGGCATTTTCTGAGGAAAGTGCACCACCTACTGGTGTACTCTGGAAAGTGAAAAAGTGAAGCACTAACAGCCAAGCACGTGGACTGTTGATTTACTTAAAATTTGGCAGGTCAGAATTAAAACAAATGAACTGGCTTACAAATATTAGAGAATTAGAGAAATCGGGGGTAAAATATTTTAGAAACGCTCTCTTTCAAAGAGAGAAGTAAGCAAAACTTTAGCATACACAAACACACAGAATAATGAAACAGTAGTTATGAGAAATTACATCATTTTAAAGCTGAACCTGGCTGCAGGATGAATATGTGAGAGATGACCAGCTGAACAAGGGCTTTAAAAAACAAAACAAAAAACACCATTTCATATGCTTCATTGAATCAATAATATTCATAAGCAAAGACTGCCAATTACTCTGAACGAACTAAAACACTCAATAATCAGCCTTGAAAGTTTGAATTATAATTTGTTGCAGGTCAGATTTAAAACAAGTTAGTGAACTGGGTTACAAATGATATTTAATCAGAGAAATCGGGGGGAAATATTGCAGAAACACCCTCACTCAAAACATAATTAGCAACACTTCAGCATATACACACACACACACAGCAATGAAGCAGTTTGCACAAAATAAATACACCCAAACAGTAGGTACAAGAAATGATGTTTTAAATCTTACAGCAGAATGAATATGGAGGCTGACCGACGAAACAATGGATTAAAAAAAAAAAACATTGTTTCATACTCTTCATCGAAATCAATTACATTCAAAAGCAAAAACCACCAAACCACTGGCTACAAACGCTAACAGCTGCCAATCGCTCTCAGCATGAACTAAAACACTCAATAATCAGCCTTTGAGAGAGAAAAACAACCAGCGGATATGTTTAACCTCTGAATAAGATCAGATAGCAAGCTTTCCAGTTTGATAACCTTCACTCAACAAGCAGAAAAAAAACCCGCTTGCTGATGATTAATTCAGACCCTCATCAGAAGAAAAAACACTTGATTCATTGTGCTCTCTAACAGAGAACGCTCACAACCTTCAAGTCTCTCAATGTGCAATAATTTGCTAAGATTCAGGTTTCCAGTCAGAACTCAGCAGCACACAGATTCTAGTATATTAGAACCGAATAATCTGTGATGTCTTATAGTGATGCAGAAATCTTAAAACTGTTTCATGAAGGATTCTACGATGTCCAGCGCCACCAGGTCACCCTCATCCGATCCCAGACGGCCTGCAGAGAGTCGAAGGCCGGACGCACGTCCAGGATGGAAAACTGGTAGGTGTCTTTATTAATATCCCCATCGTAGTAGTCAATGACATACCGGACTTCCTTTCCGCACCGATCAACGATCCAATCGTGTCGGTCGAAAGGCAATTCATATCTACAGTGAAAGTTAACGGAGAGAAATCAAGCACTCTGTAGCTTTTTAAACACTTCCATTGGGATTTATTTTTATATCTTACCCCATCCAGTGACGTATTCTGGCTCTGGGCGAGAACTCTTTGGCTTTGCCCCCGAATCTCTTCAGAGTCGGACCACATGGACACTCGCTGCCAGAAACAAACATGTGTTTGAAACGAACAGTAATCGAGGGCGCTATGATGATTCTTGCGTACTTGGCAGTTTGTAGAAACAAAGCAGATCACACTGCCAGTGACCATCAAATGACAAACAGAAGGCGACTAACACCATATCATCACCTCGCTTATCTGACAGCAACAGGGCTTCAGAGGTGATGATGAAGCTTTTATCTGATTAAAATGTGTTTGGCATCACAAGTTACTTTATTATCAGTCACCATTATTTCTGCGTACAATATAAACACATAATTAGAGCACATTGTAATACAGTACGAAGTCTGTTATTCTAGCCAAGGCTGCGTGTATTTGATTAAAAATACAGTAAAAGTAGTGAAATATTATTAGAATTTCTAAATAACTTTTTTGTTTTTTATATATTTTGAAACGCAATTTATTCCTGTAGTACTTAGTACTTTTTTGATTAATTTAATGCATCCTTATTGAATAAAAGTAACAATTTCTTGTAATAAAAACAACATTTTTTAACAGTCATTGCTCTTGTGAAAGTGAGAGTTGTGCTGCAGTCACCTGACATGCAGCGCTTCCCACTTCAGGATTTCCTGCCAGGCTTGATCGTTGTTACGATTGTGGATCTGGATTATATTGGTCATGTCTTCTGGAGCAAGACTGTCATCCTTCCAACGCCACCTAGCAAAATAACAAACAGCAATTAGCTATTTACAGTAGTTCAGCACAAAAAAAAGACAGATTTTCCTTCCAAAATGTGCAAAACATGCTCTTGTCTTTTCTGCATAGTATCAAAACAATAGCTCCTTTCCGAACATAGTGTGCTGCCTATCTAGAAAGCATTTTAAGGAATCAGAGGCACTCCCTAAACAGAAGGCAAAAATTTGCCTACCAAATTTTGCCTGCCAAAATACCAAATTTGACCAAAATATAAGGCAGCATCTTGCATATACCACACGGATAAAGTAATCTCAGAATGCACAGCAAAAAGTAAGATAGAAAAAAAAAATATCTAAAATGGCAACTGAGCCAAGAAATAATGTTGATTATAAATATTTTATTTAAAACATTTACTTTTTTACACATTTTATTAATGTTTTTATTTTAATTTTTTATTAAAAAATATTTTAGTATGTAAAAAATAAGAATAATGTTAATTATATATAATACATGAATAACAATTTAAGAAAAAACAAAAAAACATTTACATATAAAAATGAATATGCATTTTTATATTACTTTTTTATTAATATGAGACACTTGTTAGCTATATTTGCACACTACCGTTCATAAGTTTGGGGTCAGTATTTTTTTTTTTATTAATACTTTTATTACGCAAGGATGCATTAAATTGATCAAATGTGACAGTAAAGATATTTCTGAAGGATCATGTGACACTGAAGACTGGAGTAATGGATGCTAAAAATTCAGTTTTGCCATCACAGGAATGAATTACATTTCAAGATATATTAAAATAAAAAAAGTTATTTTAAATTGTAATAATATTTCACAATATTACTGTTTTACTGTATTTTTAATCATGCAATAAATGCAGCCTTGATGAGCAGAAGACTGGTGTTCAAAAAGCGTGTTCAAAAACATGCTAACATCAAATTCTATTGGAAATTAATCTATTTGTATGCCGTGTGGAGTAGGGCTGTCAAAATAGCTGAAAAACTAAATTAGAATTTTTTTACCTTAAATATGTCTTAATTAAATATATCATTTAAAATGCATAATTTCAGTTAGGGTGAAGAAAAGCTTTTGGCTTCTCTCCTGAGGCCACAAGAGGGCGCATCGAGCAAAATATTACTAATGCACGTTTATTCAAAGTGCATAATGTTTAAAATAATGTTTATAAACCAATTATAATTAA